CTGTACCAGAGAGTGAACCAGCAGCGCCTTCGTTTATGAGCACAGCCTGGCTGTTCTTCAAGGCTTTCTTTGTGTCTCTCTTACCAGAGGGACCGCCAGCTGTGGTCAACTAAATGACTGCCTGTTACCCATACAGTAACCTATTACTGCAGCTATCTGCTCTGCTGGCGCAAGATAGGGTACCGGCTTGAACATTCAGGTAGCCAGGTGTCAGATAAAAAGAAATCTCCTTTGTGTTCAGCTGAAATCTGACATGTAACTGTCTGTAGACTCTAAACTATGGTGTTATTCCAGAGGGTCAGTGAATTGTATAGTAAGACATTGGATATAGAGGGCTTACAGCCATACAGTACTTCATGTAAGTAAGACTGCTGCTGTGGGCAGAGATATAAGGAGAATTTGATTCCTGTTGGAATGTGTTTATTCTTTACATTACACTGAGTGTAGTTATCTTTTGCAACCAGTGAATTGCTAGGTATGTATTATAACAATTTTACAGAGAAGATCTATGCCAAAAAAATGAAGAAAGGCAGCATTTGTCGAGAAGCAGTGAGTTGTGTCTCACAGCTACCTTCTACCAAGTCTTCCTCCCTTGGAGAAAGCCTTCCCATCACAAGACATCTTTTGCATCAGAAAGACATTCTCCATCAAGATGTCTTAGCAGAAGGTATTCATAGGCTCCAGTTTTGCAGGAGAAAGTTGTACAGTCCAGTGCAATGAATATTCTTGTGTAAATAGCTTTCCACGAAGGATACCAATTGTTCGAGATAGGAGTTTGTTTCATATCAAGATAACTGCGATAAGGCGTTGAGATAGGAGTTTGTTTCATATCAAGATAATTTTCCTGCACTTCGAATTGCAGTGAAAAACTGATATAAGCATTCTTCTCCTATTAGCTGTGACCTTTTGAGGTCCTGTGTTGTATCTGATAAAGAAACTGTCACATTACAGACTCAAGAGCTGTCTGAACCGGAGGTTTTGCCAAGAGACTTGTGAAAAATGGTTGGTTTCCTTTCATGGTGTGGCCTTAGTTAAATCTCTGCCAGTAAACTTGTCTCTAAACAGCTTTAATGAATCCCATTCAATAAGATACTTTAACAACCCTCTTTACAATATTCTCACTAATAACTACTAGTGTGTTAACCTAACTAATCAAACTAAAATTGTTTGTGCGGTGGATGCCTGCCTGGACCAGGTTCTTAAATGTCATGTGCACACATTAAAACTCTGTACTTTCCACTGCAAGCTGCTTAAAAGCAGTACATTCAAAGTGCCTTTGGCCTCTGCTTGAAGGAACTGGCCATAATACCTGGGGGCTTAAATCCTGACACTTCTGTGTTGGCTGCCTCTCCAGTCTGTGCCTCCTTCCAGAACTCCAGGAGTTTGCAGTGTGGGTCTTTCAGATCGGGGATGAAGGTATCCTAGATTGTCTACATAAGGAAACATTTTCTTGTGTACACACAGAGCTTTCAGGTGATGCTGAAATTCAGATTTTCACTATTGCTGCTAGGAAATGGTAAGCTTCAGGTTATTCATATATATTGTATATTCCAAACTTCTGTATAACTGACTACATAACTGCTCGACTTTTTTCTTGTATATTACCTATTAAACAAAGTTTAATAGCTGATGGTTTGGTTTTATTGTGAAACTCAGCATTGTCCCAGGGGTTCAGATGGGAATGTCAGTAGGTACAGACATGATTGAGTCTCAGGGTGTGCGTGGTGTTGGTCACTCATTAGGAGAGCACAGCCATAATAAGTAAATGAAGAACCCCTGCCTTAACCTGTGCCTTGTCCCTCCCAGCTTAGCTACCCAACAATTACTTTAGCCTCTGAAGGCTGAACCTGTAATTAGCACTGTTCTCTTGGTCATCCTGCTGTATCCAGGCAGCAAGAAATCTTTGAAGTTAAAGCATAATAAGGGAGGGGGGCAGTGTCATATATTTTTACTCCTTTAAGGTCAGAGTACAATTATTTGTGGGCCCATCCCACCAGCTAAAGATGTGAGCCTTAAAATCTTGTGAGCCTTGAGATTTCATGATTTAGCACCAAACTTTCTACCTCAACCCCTCCGTTTTTCCCTTACATAGAGAATTTACACTTGAAGGACACATGATAGAATTCACAACCTAACCATTCTGCCTAAACTCCTCCTTGCCTCCTCTTGTAATCTGAAGTAAAATTGCCAGTTTGATCTCCTTCCACATAATCTGTCCCTGACCTGGATAGCCAGATCTTGGAAGGTAAGCAGGGTGCAGAGCCCTGGTTTTCGCGGACAGGAGGAGGAGATTGGCTTTATACCCCGCCCTTCACTTGGAGTCGCAGAGCGGCTTACAATCTCCTTTCCCTTCCCCTCCCCACGACAGACACCCTGTGAGGTGGGTGGGGCTGAGAGAACCCTGACACAAACTGCTCTTTTTCAGGGACAGCTGTGCCGGAGCTTGTGACTGACCCAAGGTCACATCAGCAGCTGCAAGTGGAGGAGTGGGGAATCAAACCCAGTTCTCCCAGATTAGAGTCCGCACACTTAACCACTACACCAAACTTCATTCAGGAAACACAGAGTCCCTTTTGCTCATCCTGAAGTACTCCAGCCGACTACAATTTCCAGAATTCTCTGGAGCAATATACAAGAGCTGGAATGCTACAAAGTCAACAGAGTTTCGCAGTGCAGGAAGGCAGGAGGGGACCCTACATTTATGTCAACAGTATGCTTGGAACAGATACAGGAAGGTACTGCTCAGTTCCTCTGCTGTCATTTGAAGGTTTTCAGCCGGAATACCCACACCAAATAGGATTTCCGGCCATTTATTTAATGTTCATCCCGCCACAAGCTACCATGTATATCTCCCTCCCGTGCTTGCCGTTTGATGCCGTGCATTAAATTATCTGGTCAGGTGGCATTTTCAACTAAAATTAACTTGCAATAACAATTGACTTTGTTACCAGGGGGTGGGGGGGATGAGTGGCAGAAGCACCCTGCGAGCAGATGCCCGCATTTCTCTTTCAGGGGGGAAAAGTTAATTAGGTTATTTAATTGCAATGCTACATTGTCAACAACAACAAAGAAGGAGCCATCCACGGGCTATTGAGGGAAGGCAGCACTCTCCGTTCGTATCCTGGCTCCTGGGCAAATGACTGAGCGTGCCAGGCGGGGGATACCGTGCCAGGAGGAGGGGAGCAGCAGGGGGAAGCCAGGGTTGCTAGGCAACAGCCCACTTAGTTGCATGAGTATATGGAAGTTTGCACAGTGTTGCAACAGGAATGCAGAGACTCCTTCTGAACAACCATAGGTATGTAGTCAATGGCACATGGCACTGCCATGCATGTGTACCATGCAAGAGACTGCCTTTCACAGTTGGTCTCCATGTTGCACTACTTTTTTGAAGAAGATGAAGAGGAAGAGGAGGAGTAGGAGGAGGATAATGGATTTGTACCCCGCCCTTCACTCGGAGTCTCAGAGTGGCTTACAAACCCCTTTCCCTTCCCCTCCCCACAACAGACACCCTGTGAGGTAGGTGGGGCTGAGAGAGCTCTGACAGAAACTACCCTTTCAAGGACAGCTCTGACAGAACTATGGCTTGCCGAAGGTCATCCAGCAGGTGCAAGTGGAGGAGTGGGGAATCAAACCCGGTTCTCCCAGATTAGAGTCTGCGCGCTTAACCACTACACCAAACTTGAGCAGAGCCATATTCCTTCCTTCCCTCCCTCCCTCCCTCCCTCCCTCCCAGCAGACAGATCAAGTGGAGATCAATGGATTTTGCGTTTCAAACTGGAA